TTTAAAAACAAAAAAAAAAAAAGAGAAGAGTTTACACCAGGCAAGAACTGCATGAAGTGAGAAATCTCGATTTTATCTTCAGGCTATATATGTTACTTCGAATTGTACTATATTATATTGATCTGTAATTTCCTCTTTAAATTGTTAATTTCTGTCATATTGTTTTATAATTAATTTTGTTTATGTTATATATTTTTTTTTTGTTTTGTGTTTTCTTTTTCTGTTATCTTAATTGTTATTATTAATACAAGCACATGGCCTTGTCGCCCTGCTTGGTTGGTTATCAATAAATAAAGAACATACATAGAATAACTTTTAGATTTGAAAAAAGTGAGAAAACGATGTTTAAATGTCGCTGCCATTTAAATATAAAACAAATATTTTCATCCATCACTTATCTTTGTTGAAAACACTATGAAACATTTTGAGAAATGCTAAACGAAACTGTCGGTTTGCAAGAGCGTAGGCAAAAGGATTCCCACTAGAATTCAAATAGCACATATAATAAGTAAGATTATACAGTATTCCAGGTATACAATGACCCTTGCAAAATCCATAAATTGTTGCCTGAAAAGGTTCTCTTTAGTAAATACTCTTTATAATACTATACAATACTCTTTGATCTCTAGAGATACATTTGACGGGTTATGCTTAAATATAATTTGAAATAATACATTGAGAAATAGCGAACCATAATATAATATGGTGACCATAAAATCGCGAAGAACCCAACAATAAATGTAATAGTTCTAAAGGCTTTACGTGCTCTTCTTTCGGCTTTTGTTGATTTCCTTGAACGCGAAAGAAAAGAATTTGAAAAAATTGACTGTAACCTATATATGTTACTTCGAATTGTACTATATTATATTGATCTGTAATTTCCTCTTTAAATTGTTAATTTCTGTCATATTGTTTTATAATTAATTTTGTTTATGTTATATATTTTTTTTTTGTTTTGTGTTTTCTTTTTCTGTTATCTTAATTGTTATTATTAATACAAGCACATGGCCTTGTCGCCCTGCTTGGTTGGTTATCAATAAATAAAGAACATACATAGAATAACTTTTAGATTTGAAAAAAGTGAGAAAACGATGTTTAAATGTCGCTGCCATTTAAATATAAAACAAATATTTTCATCCATCACTTATCTTTGTTGAAAACACTATGAAACATTTTGAGAAATGCTAAACGAAACTGTCGGTTTGCAAGAGCGTAGGCAAAAGGATTCCCACTAGAATTCAAATAGCACATATAATAAGTAAGATTATACAGTATTCCAGGTATACAATGACCCTTGCAAAATCCATAAATTGTTGCCTGAAAAGGTTCTCTTTAGTAAATACTCTTTATAATACTATACAATACTCTTTGATCTCTAGAGATACATTTGACGGGTTATGCTTAAATATAATTTGAAATAATACATTGAGAAATAGCGAACCATAATATAATATGGTGACCATAAAATCGCGAAGAACCCAACAATAAATGTAATAGTTCTAAAGGCTTTACGTGCTCTTCTTTCGGCTTTTGTTGATTTCCTTGAACGCGAAAGAAAAGAATTTGAAAAAATTGACTGTAACACATGATCTCGAGCAGTTAATGTTGCAGTAATAAATTTACGAGACATTCTAAAAATTATAAGAGAATTAGCCGATGGCAGTTATGATAAATTAGGAATTCTCTAAAGAAGATTTTACCAAAAAATACGATAAAATTAAATTAAAATTAAATTTTTAAAAATGAAATTTTCCAAAAATTTTTGCAATTTTTTCAACTATGTTTCCAGCATTGGCTGTACAGGTTACTATTTCGAATTATTATCGTTAGCTTACCCATAATTTATTCGTTCATTTATTAAACAGTAAAGCCATACACTTACATTAATAGAATAGTTAACAGTTATGGGAAAAAGATAGAATGAAATAGATCAATATTATTATTATTTAATATTATCACTATTATCAATTATTATTTAAAAAGACAAGCAGAGATATTCAGAAATTAATACATGGATGAAGAAAATTGTATGATATCTACATAGTGCTCTAGACAACTTTAATTCGCTTCCAAATTTTTTCGCAGAACGCAGAAGATGCAAACATAAGGAAAAATCACTCCAGTAACTGTTGGTTAAATAAATTATATGAATGTAGACGAATTTTGTAAATTTTAAAGATAGCTTTAAGTAGTAATTAAGTAGTTCCAAATAATTTTTATCTAATGCATGGAAGTGAAATGGCTCAGTTATTTTTCTGATTTCGGAGCGCCAATGATGTGTTTTCGGCAGGAATAAACCAATCTTTCAAAAATCCAGGTGTTGTTGATGATTTATATTTCTATCGGCAAATAGCAAAATTTGTCTGGAACAGTGGACCGAGCATAACCAGAAATGGTGGAAACTCTTAGAAATGCTCTAGAATAAAATTAAATATTAAAAATTCACTTGCGCGTTTGTGATTTCTTCCTATGAACATGCAATCCACCACAGCTACTTTGGCAAGACACAGCTAATCGACCGAAGTTTGAAGAAACGCCATCTTCTGTTAACGAGCTGGAAAGCAATAAATTTGCTCTCTTTTCTAACTATTCATATTGGATGATATCATTCTAAACGATTATTAAGCGATGTGTAGAGAAAATTTGCAATTTTAAAATCTGATTTTGTAATTGCTTGGCATTATGGATTGATCAAATTAAAAATTAAATTAAATTGAATTATGTTAAATTTTTTCAATTAAATTAAATTGAACTACGCAGATAGAAGATTTGGTGAATAATTGAATCAAGCCATCGATTATTTTTGAAAGCCCTACCTTGATGACACTGAAGAACATCTCGACCTGTAACTAAGACTTGTGCGTTTTAAGGGTTGCATAGCTCGCACCATTCTTTCTTTCATTTGAATTATCCAATTTCTCGGATATTTCCGCAATATAAAATTTTTTCTTATTAAGTTCATCTTGACGATATCATTCGAGTGGTTTTCAAGAGATCTTCCAAAGCAATTTGTTCGCTGAAAATAACGATATAGATATCAGATTACCATTGTTTTTCTTTACACAAATTGCTTTATTTGATAGTTTATGCCCATATTTTATTAGCAGAATTAAATATTAAAGGAATAAGAAGGTCCAAAATATTGGGAAAAATAGATCGAGATGAGTTTTGCAAAGAAAACAAAAGATAGAGCTTTATGAAGATATATGATATTCAGGGTGACGCTGGAGAGCTGCCTATATTTTTGTATTCAAATTGGCCCTCTCACGGATCCCATCCTAACAGTTAACCTAGTGGAGCTAATCAGAAATGTTGTCCAAAGAAGAAAGAGATTACAATATCACGACTAAAAATGAAGGCCCGATATTTATATAAGAAATATTATACAAAGTATGAAAAAATTATCCAGAAAATACGGGATTATGCACGATTAAACAATCCCGATTGTCTATCGATTCTAGCGATCTTGTATCGGAAAAGTTGAGATCCAAGTCGCATTCCATTGCATGCTTTGGAATCCCCAAATGTAATGCTGAACTGAAGCTATCGTCATTAAAAAATGCCGATGAATAATTTTTTATTCGATGATCAGAGCCCTCCTGTAAAAGTGGCTAATTTAATAATTAGCATCAAAAAAATGCTTTGCTTCTAGTCAAAAGATGGAATTGGAAAAAGAACCGCCATTCTGCTTGCTTGGTTTTCTCTTATGAATCGCTTCTATAAATTCACTAATTTCAAATTTGAAGGAAAATACTTGAAATTTCAGATTTAAAAAATATTTTTTAGTTGGATGCTTCATTCATTCCATTCGCCATAAACAAGAAAGATCAAAAAATTAATGAATTTATTTTAGTGCGGATTCTTAACTTGCATGATATTATTAGTTTTGAAATATTCATTATATTTGCAACGCGCTAACTGCAATGAAATGATTACCATAGATGATTCAATTCCACTGATTGGTTCGCTGTGGTAAAGTATTGGCTCCAAATTTTTCACTTCCAAATTGTTACTAAGTTTTTTTGTCGCCTCTAATCTTGAAATATTTTTGTTTTCTTGACTTTGACTTTCATTTCCCTCGGTATCGCTGGATGCTTCTCCTTCATCTATACTTGGAATAAGCTTGCAAAATTCAAGTTCATTACTTCCTCCTGCCTATATTAAATATTTGTAGTATTTTGAAAGTATTTGTAGTATTTTATTTTAGGTTCTATATTGTTTCATCGAATAGTTTGTAAATTTTGCTAAATTTTTACGATAAAGCTTCAATCTATAAAAATATAAAAACATAAAAAAGTATTTTATAGGGAATTAGTTGAGAAACGAGAATATTAATTAAGAATCGAAGCTTATTAGTAAATATTGCTGGAAAAAAGATTTTAAAACATCATATTTCCTGCATTTATTAATTTTAAGTCTAAATTTAAGCTAAATCAACTTTATAAGGATTTTTGAAAAACTTAATTGTTGCGCATAAATTAGAATTTATACGCACAGCAGTGCATTTCAGTGAACTATAGAATTTCATTCAAATGGCGATTACCCTTTCTATACACCAGAAAAAATTTAAACTTAAGTCAAACTTTGATTTCCCGTTCTATCTGTAATGATGATAGTAAACTATTCATAAACTTTCATCGAAATATTTTATATTTAGATTTTGCTGAAGTATGCCTGTATATACATTACGTTTTAGTACATTAAATTTTAGTGATTTCGTACTTCCGAAAGGAACAAACCTAATATTAAAAACTGCTGGTGACTCACTTGCATCGCCAAGTGAATGCCGGGCAAAAATTTTAAATCATAGTGAGCGGATCAAGCCTAGTGACCAAACATTATTTATTTAAGGATGAGCGATATTTCTCTCATCGACTCGTATTTTTCTCAACTTAAGTTTCGCAAATTCCAGTTTTGTAATTATAATATGTGGGCGCATAATTTTTTAAAATATTCTGCTCGAATATGATTTTGTATAAAAAAGAATATGAGCAAAATGGCTGAAATTTTATTCATTTTCACCTAATAAAAATTTTTCATATGCAAAAGGCCAATGGAAAAAGTCTATTAATTCAATTAGGTCCAGAAAATTTACGAGATATTAACAAGAAGAAAAGAAAATAATTTTCCGTAGATGAATACTTGAAAGTTACTGAATTGAAGATATTAATAAATTAAAAATTGAAAGTTACTTAATATTTTAATATTTATATGTTTTTGTTTATTTATCAGCACCAAGCAGAAAAATATGATATTCGTTAATTTGGACCCATAGATTCTTCCAAATATTTTTTAACCTTTTTCGATTCTCATAGGGGATTTCTATTTTTAATGCGCAAAAACTAAAACTAACATTGGCAATAGCAGTATTATAAGTGATAATTGTATGATAACCACTATCCTTAGCAATATTTTCGATATTATTATGTTTTTCTTCGATAAGCTTATCTCCGTCTCCTTTTGGTTTTGATAAAGTCAATGACACACCGACCTAAATAAATTATTGCAAGATATTAACGCGATATTAAAAAAGAGAAAAGAAAATAATCCTCTGTAGATGAATACCTGAAAGTTAATAAAATTATATGAACTGCAGATATTATTACAGACATCACTGCTAATATTTTAGAAATGAAATAAATATATAAATCAATTCGCAATTATTAAAAGTGAAAAAATGGTAAATTGTTTAAAATTCAATTTTAACAGCGAAAGTTCGAAATGGAAATGCAATGATAAACACGAGAACAATTAAAAAGTGAAGACGGGAATTAGAGAAAAAATTAAACTTTTTAAAAAGGAAAAAAAATTCTTTCCGAGCAAATTAATTCAACAAGAAATTCAATTTATCCACTTAGATATAGGAATATGGGTTCATCACCAGCACCTCCCAGACATTTTAAATGGTAAACTCACTTTCGTCGAGGAAGAAACGCATGCCCCGTCAAAAGATTTTTGCTTGCTTAAAATATTCGGTAAAAACAAAAATAAAGTTACATATTTTCAGAATCTCTGAGTTAAATCGTATATCCGAACCGAGATTAGAAGAAAATTCAACGAACGACAAATGTATTATTAGTTTATCAAATTATTAGTTTATTAAAATACTTGGGTGCCAAGTCTTTGGCCTATGATCAATGCCATGTGACGTCTTGCGCTTTCTGCTCCTCGCTTCTCGAGTTTTTTTGATGCTTGATGAATTCCCTAAAAAAAATTTTTACTTGTTTGCAAAATTACCCGCGTAAATTTGTTCATTCAATATTGGAAAAATAGTGCATTTCATTTGATGACATTAAGATTTCCATATTCAAAGTTATGCGATAAAAAAATTCGATAAAAATTTCTTGATTCATTTGTTTAGAAAAAGTAAGAATTTTTTTATTAAAATATTTTTATTAAAATTATTTTTTTATTAAAATTAAATTTATCAAAATTAACCAAGAAAACTCAAAATTCTTTTGTTTTTTTTTCAAGAGCATTCATCATTGCTAATAAGGCTCGCTCCAATGATTTGTCGGACGAGGCAAATATGCCAGGTATTTGGCTGTAGAAGACCAGTACCACCAGCATCATCCAGATTTTTGTACGGGTTTATTCACGCTGAGAATAGAATCCGCATCGACGCCCCGGATTGAACAATAACACACTGATTTTCTAGTCTATCTATTCTATTCTCTTTTTGCTTTCTGCGTTAGACAACATAGCCACCCTATGAAGTGAGGTGAAATGATGGGGTTGAACGCAAGCCTTGATTTTCCATTATCTTACCACTGTGTCATGTGCTCTAACGTGCTCTATTTAAAGTATTGTGATTTTATAAGGCAGTTGTTTTTAATATTTAGCAGAATGAATCTTGCAAGCGTGAACAAGCGCTCAAATCGAAAAATTTTAAACTCTTTTAAAGCTCTTCGAATTTCCTAATATAATGCTAAATTTTTTTATAAAATTCTAGAAAATATAGTGTTAACCTTATAAAGAATCAGCATTGCTAGTAAGGTCGTCCAGTAATATGCAAGATACATTGACATATTAACATAAGGATTCGATAAAAATGGCGCAGCACATTCGCCATTAATTAGACTGCAAGCATTTTCTGTTAGATTTTTGTGGAAAAAGATAATTTCCAGAAGATTTAAATCGGATTTCAATGAACTATTCGCTACATAATATATAAAAACTGTAAATTACCTGAATTATTATTTGTCAAAAATAGTTTCGTTTTCAAAATTGTTACTATTATTAAATTGAACAGAGGTGAAATTTTTAAATTTGAAATCTTGTGACCCATTAAAAAAATGGAAGATTTTTAATTTAATGATTCTTCATTTTCTTCTAACATTAGTGATTGGATTGACTCTATAAAGCCAACTATAAAGCGGTGAAATTCTAATTAAATCCTTTGGACTGAAAAAAGCAATAAAATTCACCTTTTAGAATCATCTGAAAATAATGACCAGCCATAAATCATGAATCCGAACATAAATGCTGGCATTATCCACGAAAGAGAAATTGCAATTTGAGTTTTTACAGGAGTTTGCCATTTGATATAAAAAGCTGTATGGCATACCGATAAATATCGATCAATGGTGATTAAAAGAACAGTTAAAATTGAAACAAGGCACAATGTATAGTCCAGAAATAACCACGTTTCACATGTCAACCAACCAAGTGGCCAACGGTCACCTAAAATCAGCAGTCATTTCATCGAGCTACTAAATTCTTATTAAGCTATCCACAAACATTGTTAATTCTTAATTATTTCTTTTTCTAACGCCACATTTGTCACTCCATTGGCTATTAAGAGTAAAATTTTTTTGGAAATACATTTGGGCCTTCGAGTTGCCAACTGCGTTAATTTTCACATACAAAAATTAAGAGCTCAAATATTGTTTTAAATCAAATCCTTATATGTAAAATTTGTCGATTAAAGAAAAGTCATACATTTCTTCATTTCATTTATTTTCATTTTAATTTTTTTCTAAAACTTATCATAAATCAAAATTAATCACGAATGTGTTCATGATATTTTTTTATTTTGTTATTCACAAGTTTGCATTCACTAAATTCTAAAATTAACAGATCTTAATGGGTTGCACCATGATTTCAGCTTAATTGACAACGTTTGAGACGATTCTAGCGAATTATTTTTCGTTTTTTCTTGGAAAAATAATGTTTTCTCTTATTTATTTTTAATTAAGTAAATGAGTAACTGACTAACGATTTCTGGCTAAACTAGCTCTGCTGACTGTTAGAAAATTTTTTAAAGGGTCGGTTGGCAATAGAAACAAAGCAAAGATGTCGACAACATGGATTTTGTTGACGACCTTATTTTTTAGGAACATGATCGGAAGCCTGGCCTCTCAACACGATAATCTGAGATAAACTACTCACTCCCATCCCTAATTAATTTTAATTAGTGAAATCCATTTGTTGAAGAAAGAAAAATGAGATTTCATAATTTAAAAATTTTTTTAGCTGTTTTTTGAAAAGTATTTTTGAAATATTCAAATAATCTGCTATTATTTCATAATATAATATTAGTTGTTTTATTAATTTTATTCATTTAATTTAATATTAATTTGTAATATAATGATTTTTAGAATAACAGCGATAAACAATAATAACTGAGCAGATAAATTTCAATTAAATCCAGTCTGAATTACCATTAAGCACATAAACAGTAAATAGTGGATATCCTTCAATTCCAATGATCAAATCTGATACAGCTAATGAAACAATATATCGGCTATTAATCTAAAATAAATATGATCAGTGCTTACCATTTCTGGTTGATCTAGCTATGTTAGTAAGAGAATTTTTGAAATCTGCTAGAGAACCACTCGTTTATAGAAATACAAGCTCAAATACAGAAATATTAAGTGGGTCGCTAGGATTTTTTAATGGCAGGTTGAAAGCAAGATTTGGATCCAAGCCTCTCAACACTATCTGAGTTATTTAGCCAGTTATTCTATTCCCTACTACTCAATCACCAATCGATGTTTGGTGCAAAATTTCATCTAAAAATTTAAATTCTTCCAAAGCTGCATTTTTGTTTTAATATTTTTAGACTGGCAAAAAAAATATAATCCTTTTACTTCGAAATGAAATGCGATTTTCTTGCGCTATTTAATCCAGGACTCACTAATTATTTATTTTATGGTAATAAACCAAAGTAAATGAAAAGAACTCTCTTAATACGAGAGAATTCCTCTATATGGATAAAATAAAGAAATAATATAAAAGTTTTGTGGAGATTCGGAAATTTATTTAATAAAAATACGAAATGATTTGCAAGAAATTCATTAAGGTAAAATTTTCGTAAAGAGATAATAATCACCTGTTTACTAATTGACTGCTCTATTTTATACGCAATTATCACCATAGCATTACCTATAATTGTTTCCAAGCTTAATATCGTTACTGCTATCCAAACAATAACCTAAATAAACATATTATATGGATATAATATATAATATATTATATAAATATATTATATTATATTATATGAATATGTGACAGAAAATTCATGGATCTTCGCGGAGATTGAAAGAATTTGACGGAAGGAAAGGTTGAACAAAAAGTGTGAACAAATAGGAACAATCGGAAATCCTTTATTTAATTAATAATAATAAAGATATAATAATAATAATAATAATAATAATAATAATAATAATAATAATAATAATAATAATAATAATAATAATAATAATAATAATAATAATAATAATAATAATAATAATAATAATAATAATATAATAATAATATAATAATAATAATAGTTGATAATAATAATAATAATAAAGAATACATTCATACTTCTTATTTGCTTTCGTTGCTTCAGCGTTTTTACTTACAAACAATGATATCATTTTGACCGAAACTAATTTTGGGGACTCACTGACGGAGTGAAGACCAAGATTAATCTTAACCAAGGCCATGCGAGGTTCAATTGCTTTTGAAGCAACAAAACCTTAAAGCCATATGCGAATACCCATTTGACTTGAAATATTGAACGAGCACTCATTCAACGCAACTGAAGTTTTGCAAATTCCAGATGTATACTCCGATTTACGAGTGTTTACGAGTGTAATGCATTCTGCTCGGGTAGTGTTGAATAACAACGATAGCATAATTAACTAATTGACTTATTTGGAAAACCTTACTGTTCAGATAAGAAGTCAAAGTGATATAATAAATAACCTGGATGTGAGTATCATATGACTGATTCCATTCAATGACAAACTCATTAGTACCATTAGTACCATAGTTATTGCTACGATTCATCTTGCAATAAAGTAAGCCAAATAGCTGGATCGAAAATGTTTTTTTTCGATATTATTGTTCATTTGCTTCGCGAATGCTTTTTCAAACGAAAAAATTCACCAACAAGCCCCACCTTTTCTTATAATTTAAAAAAGTAAAAATTATTTCTCTTTTTCTTCTAAAAATTAAAATAAATGATGTAAAAAAAGCAAAAATGGGAAAATTGCAATTTTATTTCATCCAAAAATTTACGCCATTTGAGTAAAAAATTAAAAGAAAAAGAAAAAGCCACAAAAAGGTTTTATTTTAGAGAAAAATCTATGCATTTTCACTGTTAATCATTTCGCATGTTTTTCAAATACCCAGGTTTATAGTTGCTTGTGGCGGATTTTTTCTCACCATTACTGGTTAAACTCACTCCACTGGCTTGTCGCATTGGGCAATATGCCAGGGAATCCCTTGGCGATAGAAATACAGATGAGTCACCAGAATCACCCGGATTTTTGTACAGGTTCACTCCTGCGGGGAATCGAACCTCAGCATCGGCGCTTCCAATTGAGCAACAAACCACTGAACCACTTTATCGTTGCTTGTGACGGATTAAGACTTCTCGAAATGATTCCATATAAGACGATAAGCAAAAAACATTTTAAAATGATTCGAATTACCAATTCGGAAACAGTTGTAAGTAAAACATGAGTAAAACTTGACAGTTTATTATCTAAAAGTCCTATTAATATTATTTTTACTATTCCACATTGAAGCGATAACCGTGCCACCGTTACGCTTATCACCTCTCCGATCACATTCATCGCCTTATTTACGAATAGGTACAAATCGCTTTCAGCGACAAACAAGTGAAACTGGCGATTCATACTACGATTTCTTTCGTTTTATAATTAGGTAATAATTACTTTTTTAATTTTATCGTTAATTTTATAGTTATAGCTATATTCTTTATTTTTAATTTTTTAAATTAGATTTGACCAAAAACTTTTAAAATCAATGCTTTTCGATAATTTTTAAACACAATTTCAGTGATATCGCTGAATCAAACAGGTTATTCAAATCGCTTTCGGCTGGTGTGACCTGCCCTTCAGGCAATTCCATGGCAAAAAATTTCTCACTGCAGCCAAAGCGAGCAATAACGCAAACGGAGCTGTGCGCACCAACCAGTTATTTGAATTATAAGATATAAAAAGAATTCACTTTAATTTTACAGTTGACATCGTTCTTGTCAAATTATATATGCACATTTCGAAAGAATTTCGGAAAATTATCGAAGAGTTAAACTGCTAATGAAGAGTGGCAACACTTGATGGAATATTTATACTCATTCACTGAGAGAGAATAAAACCAATTATTTAAAAAAATTTCTAACGAATTCCGTTTTCAGTAAACTCAATTAACTAATCCTTTAAGATGTAAATCACAACAATAATTTGGCAATTATCTTTTCATTGATTTCTGTTTTAGCAAAAATTTTTGCCCATAAAAGAAAAAAATGAATGTACGACTTTTTGACTTTTTAAACTCAGTTTGAAAACCTTTGAATATACCTTCGCGGACGCCTGAAATGGAGAATATCACAAGTAGGAAACGCCGCAAGTAGTTGAAATAATGCATATTTAAGTTTCTTAGCATAAAACAGCGTATTAGACAAAAGAAGTCGCCTTGCACACCAAAATTTGCCACTTTGTACTTCAATACGCCAAATTTGCAGAAAAATTGCGAGGTATTAGAATAAGCATACTAAAATTTATTTCCTTATGGCACAATCTACGAAAGGAACAAAATTTCGAATTTGAATAGTAAATTCTACATACATTAATAACCATCTTTTTACTTTTAAAAAAATAATTTTGGCATTTAGAAAAAGAACAGACAAGTTTTTGCAAAATGACAAGAATAAAGTCATTTGATAAATGATATATACAACAAAAAACTTAACCGTATATCAATAAAAAATTTAGAAGACCCGCAAATCAAACATAAATCATTTTTTTAAGGTTTATAAATTTTATATTAAAACAAGTTTTTGATGCTAAAGCTGCAAATGGACCCAAAAAGAAAAAAAAACAAAATTTTTTCCGCTTAATTCTGAAAACAAATTTTTTAAAAAAATTGGAATAGTCGTTCCATCCCCGCTTTCTTTCAGTAAAAAACTATTTCTCGCGAATTGTAGCGAATAGTAAATGAAAATTGTCGAGAGAAGCTAAGACAAAAATGAAAATACAGGAAAAATTCTTACAATAGTAATTCGTGGAGAAACATTTCTGGTAGTAAAAAGGAAAAAAAGGAAAAAAACTAATTTTTGAATTTTAAAGAAAACTTTCACAATCCCTAGTCAAAGAGGAAAATAGCAACAATGGAAACAAAGAATTTGAAACAAAAACATCGACAAAAAGAAATAGAAAGACACTAGAATTAAATGAGAAATTTTCAAAAAATGAGGTATTAATAACTAAGTTTTATACAAGGAATCTATTTAAAAAAATTATTATATCCATGAATTTTGACGAATAGAATAGCATGAATTTTTTTCATTATAACATTTTATGCAATCTCATTAGCTAATGATAACAAATGCATATAATGATAACAAAAATTACAAAAAAGCAGCTTTCATACTTTTCTGAACTTTAATCGAGCAAGAAGCTAATAAATTATTCACTTCTAATAAAATGAAGATTATGAAAATATCTACAACCATATTTAAGTAAAATGAACAAAGAAGAAAAAATATTCTTGAAAATAGGCAATTTATTTAAAAAATGTCGACTGGAAAAAATCCATCGCTTTCTCTTTGCTTTTTTGATTTAAACGAAATACATTTATATTATATATACTTCGCTTACCCAGAGGAATTGTTAAATATGAAACAAGCCACTTTAAAAAATGCAACAAATCCTATTTACTCGGGATAATGGATGATCCAAGTTCAGCAGCTTTTATTTTCTTATTTTCTTTTGGGTTTCAATCATCATCCTACTTTACTTATGTTACTTTTTTGTAACGTCAAAAATGTAAAATAATATTTATGACAAATGTTTCAACGTTTCCTACTTCTTTTTTAAAACATGACTGTGGAATAACATACAAAAAAACCAATAAATAAAAACTGTTAAGGCAAATTAAATAGAATTTATAACGAAACAAAAACATCAAAAAGCCATAATTCAATGGAAGATAACAATTAATAAAGGAAACCCAAGACTAGAATGCGTGCGACTACGGAAAATTTGTACCTTTACTTTTTAACATCTTTGAATAATCCAGCTTAATCAATATCTGGATATTTACGAATGAAATCAAAATAAAAAATAAAATTAGTAGGTAAAGTCCACTTCCACGCGGTAAAAACGTTCGCCCATCGCCAATCCATATCTTTAAAAAAAGTTTTCATGTGGTTATGCAAAAATTTTTGAAAATTTGGCTGTTTGTTGAACAATTGAATGGTCAAAACAATGCATTAAAAAAAAGTCGTTCTTCTGTGATCAGATCATAAAAAAAGATTGGGAGAGTTATTTTTTTAATCGATTTCTTCCTTACAACAAAACCAAAGAAAAATCAAATTTAACAGTTTATGAAAATGGAGAAATCTAACCCACTTATCGAGAAAAGCCATAATGAATGGATTGAACCGAACAGAAAATTTTCAAAAACAAAAAACCCAGACCTATTGGAACTTTTGCGTATTTGACAACATTCCATGCTAGCAACAACTGCAATCAAACAATTCGGCCGACTGTCTGTATTTTCCAGTACAATACCAATTCGCCGTAGCGAACTTTCTTTGACAAAATATAACATCGGTGACACACTAAACGAGTTGATATATATGAAAATATGAAAAAAAGGAAAAAAATTTTTTCAACAATTACGAATTACCTAAATAATTTAAAAGCTTTATGCAAATCGCTCCATGTCAGAAAGACAACAGAATCTTTCTGAATATTTTCTATGCTTATCATTCGCCTCATATCCCTCATAGTTATAATTGTCTCCACACAAGCATTTTTCTTTGATAAAATTGTGAAATCTGGCTCCTATAATTAAATTATTAAAATAGAAAAAAAATTTCCTTTATAAATAAATTACTGCAGTTAGCTGAAAAATTAAAAGCTTCCGAGACTTTTACTATTGCACAATAAGTTGCTTTTTTGCTCCGATGTGCGGAAAATGTGAAAGAAGACATTGAACAAACTTACCGTTGCATCACTTCTTTTGTAATTTGTATCGTCTAAATCAGTAGCGTTTTTTTCAAATTGTTTAACACCTAAATATGCAGGGTTTTATTTAAATTTCTTTTCTGGAGCAAGTAGTGTAAACAGAAATTTCAATTTATTTTAAGAATTTAAACTCGTTCTTTAATTGAGATTCAAAAAACTTTTAAATCTATTTATCTGAAAGGAAATTTCAGCACCATCAAAAGAACTACTCAAAAATTGCTAATGATGCAGAAATTCTGGTGATGCGGAAATTTCCTGTTCCTTCTCGATGTCTGAAAGTATGTATGAATGACGTCAAAAATCTCAAGTATATGAAGGCAAATTCATGGGATAGAGTGATAGAATAAATAAAAAATTTGCTGCCAAAAGTAATAATATAAAACCTTTTTATATGTTACAATTATCATTCGTAAAACTTTTAACACTTCCGCTCCGATTAAACTGAACAACCAGTAAAGAAACTGGAATAATTTATATCATTTTGTGCATTGTAGTATACATTGTGCGTTATTTTTGTATTTGTATTACGTCACGACTTAATTATTTGCTCACTAGACTCGCATTAATTTATTACTATGTGAAGTGGTGTTGCAACTACTGCTATCGAAAGTGATTATCTTATTCATTATTGTGACAACAGTCACGAAGAACGGCATCCAAGCTAGGATTCACTTGCTCAATAATAAATAACTCTCACAGGTTTATTAATATTTGTTTTTCTGTATTATATTACATCTTTAATAAATATTTAAATAAAAATTATCGCATCTGCAAATAAAATTTCACTATAAAAATTTTGAGGATTGGCTAAAATAAATCTAGTGAATCACCAAAATTTACTAAATTACCATTTCATAAGCTTTTTACTTTATTTATTTCACTCTGTTTTTTTTATAATGTTTGCTATCAATACAATATTCAATCTGAATTGTTATTGATTGATTGATCCATTGGAATAAACTTATAAATGTCGAATGTCGAAATGTCGATACAAAATGTCGAATTCATGCGAAAAACAGTAAAGGGTTCCAGAAAAAAAGGCTCATTAAGTCACAAGAATGCATCGAAATGATCATCAAAAGTGAACTGTTACAACGAGATAAACATGGAATTGAAAACATTACTGACCCAGCTGAAAAATATCTTCTACTGTGGATCATCTCGAAATAAAAAATGTCGATTAAAACACATATATATATATATATATATAAAGAAGAAAAGCTGGAAGAACAAGAAAAATATCACAAAATATTGAGAGAAATATTGAGAAAATATGCTATTAAATATTCTATTGACCACGAAACGAAGAAATCCTCGAGCTCGACTACTTAAGAAAACTGAACAGCTCAAAAAAATATGCTAATTTCCTCCAATATATATGTTCGTCTTTCTCAGTTTGAACTGAGAAAACTTAATAGCAATGCGAAAGAATGGCCTTAATTCAAGGTTTCAAAGTGTTGTATAAAATAAAAATACTTTTCCAATCGACAAAATGAATTTTTTACTTCGCCGGTTAGGCTTTCAAAGCAGTTGAATGTTTTGGCGATAAAGGATAAAAATTATCGCTAATTTAGGAAAAAATGAATAATAGGTTAGCAACCAATAAATACACCATTAAAATTTTATGAATGGATTCCAGCAGCTAAAAGAGAAAGATGATTTGAAACTCACATATGACTCAACCCAACAAATCCTAAATTAGCTGAGAATCATCGGGGAAAGTAGGGAACTGCTCAGATATAATGTAATAACCAAACAAAAATTACCACAATATATATATAAATCAGAAAATTGAAAAAGGAAGAAAACTTGCAGAAGTGATGCAATTTCAAAATTTAAAATTCAAAAACTTCGCGATTTCAAAAAAATTACAAGTAAAATCAACGAATCTTAACCAAAAACTCTAATATTCGAGGTTCCTCATTTATTTAAATCTGCCATAAAACCACTGAAAAACCCACACTTTTTATGCATTCTGCGAAAGACAACTTCATATAAATGTCGCCTTCTATTTATAAACAAATATTACAGGAATAAAGCGAAATTTCAAGTTGGAAACGTGGATAGTATCTACAGCAAGACCATAAACTTTATTGTAAAAAATCATATGCTTCAATGTTAAACTGAAAACGAGTAGAGAAATGAAGACTTCAGCTCACAGCAGCCTACACTTGTACAGTTAACAATCAACAAATGGCAAAAATATTAATCCATTATCTCATCACCAATATCATGAATTACTTTCTTCTAGAGAAGAGGAAATGTTCAACTCACATGACCACTCAGAATCAAAAAGACGATGGTTTTTTTAGATTTTTTGGGAAACCAGTCATCATAAATCAACGGAGGAATTACTACCAGTCATTTTCCGAGAAAAATGCAATATATATGACTAAATTCGTTCATTTCACATTTAAAATTAAAAAATCGACAAATCCGAGATGATTACTGCAGTATATCATTAATGTCAATGTGATCAAATTTAATTTCTTTACTATGGCTTGATTCCAAATTGCAATACTTCCACTGGAAATCCACGACACATATAAACCATAAAAAAAATTTTTTCGCTGATTAGAATAAATGTCGTGAAGATAATTTTACAAATTATTATAATAAATAGTGGGAATTGCCAGGTTTTTTATAAATATTACAAGTATTATTTAATTACAAGATGTTCACTGACTCTATAGTTTAAACTTAGCTATTTGAACCTCATATTTTTCAATATTTTATCTTGTTACATATTATTATTAGCTTAGCATAGATATTTTAGCGTGTTTATTGGATCGCAAATATACAGTCTACAAGTAAGACGAAGAATCCACGTGAATATTTCCTGATATTAGTTTATCATTATAAACTTCGTGAATTATTTCACGACTGTCTGATCGCCAGACCGATTTATTATTGCGTTCATTGATGTGGTAATTAAGGAAAAAAACCGTCGAAAGTGATCGTTTTTTTTGTCACAAAACACCGCAATTCTCGCAGAAACACATTCAGATTTCGCTTCCATCCCAAATCATCAATAAATGGTACTAATTTCGCAGGTTTTATTGCCATTTGCTTTTCATATTCATATTTTGATAGTATAGTGAAACAAACATTTAAACCCAGATTGTTAAATAGAAACTACCTGCAATTTCTTCGTCGCTTCGAATCCAACTTCCATCGTAGTCCATTACCACTTTACTACTGCAAAATAATTGTATGTATATATATTTCTTGGACACAAATACATAACACATTAATATAGTCCTCACAATATACGGAAATTTCCAACTCAAGGCCAATAACCAAAGACTAGACCAGAAAGAAAGAAGGCAGGTATGACTTGGTAAATGTCAAAGCCACTAATTTAAACTCGGAGTATTCAGGAATAGATCAGCAAGATGACATCAAAGGATGAACTGCTGGGAGAATATTTAAAGCATATATAAACATTGGAAAAAAGTCAAATAGAGGAAACACCAAGACAAAGCAAAACTTTTTATGGATTGCATTATCGTCAGATAACTGAGATAACCGACGATGAAAAATCCTACTAATGACTGGAAAAAACTGGATTAAAAGGCAAAAATGATCTCAGTAGTAAGAGTAAGGCACAGTAGTAAGGAGTAAGTAGGCACTAAGCATCAGATCTAATGAGGCAGAGATCTATCATAATAACAGGATCCTAGGTGTAGTTGTACATAAACACCTTAGAAATAGTCCAACATATAGCGGCAGGATATAAACGCGAACAGAAACAATATATACTGAAAGGTATAAAGGCACGGCATAATCTACAGGAATATCTATTTGGTTTATGACTTAGATTCTCCCAAGATTAAATGGGAGAAAATGTAGGAAATAATACGATGAAGATCCTCTGAGACTTAAGGCAGACAAGTATTGGTCAATTAACTTGATATCGTAGCAATAGATAAAAATCAGAAAACAACTGATGATAGATATAGCAGTAGCAAATGACAGGAATGTTAGGAAGAAAAAATATGAAAAGTCAGAAAAACAATAGGGTTAAAAAAGGAACTAGAGAAGATGTGGAACGTGAAGGCCAAAGACCCATTAATAACTGCAGCATTAAGAGCTGTAATCCATAAATTAAAAAGGCTTTAAAGGTTCCATGTACAACATTAGAGATATCTGCATAAAAAAGCGCACTATTAACAAATAAGGTACTGCGCAGAATATTTAATCTCGCAGACCTCTGGCTGAGAACTCGAGGTTGACGATAGCCCTTACACCTAGAGGAGTTGGAAAAAAATGTTTTTATCAAAATATTCGAGATATTTAACATTAAAAAAATAAGCCTTAGTAATACTCATAATGCTCAAAATAAAAAACTATTTCTAACCAAAAAATAGAAAAAAAATATGGTGGATGTTTTGAAAGAAGAATGCCAAATGAAGTGGAAATTTTAAGCAAACATTTAAAATTCACAGATATAATTGCAGACCTCTTAACTTTGCAACATGTAGCAACATCGCTTTTACTTTCCACAGTGATTTCTTGAGATTGCTGAATCTTATCAAATTTGCTTTGCTGCTGAATGGTAATATCATCTCCGACACTATGTTTCAAAGGGCAATCTCGTAATTCTTGTAAAGCCTTCTCCTGAATTTTTTTGTCTTGAGAAAACGATTATTTCAAATTGTTATGTTGAAATTTTTGATTCTGAATTTGGAAATAATCAATTATAATCAAATGAATACATATTTTTTCGACAGTTCGGTCATTTCAAATTCGGCTTCTTTTTTAATTCGCGCAATTTCTTCAGCCTTTTTCCCTTCAACACCTCTCATTAATAAAATCATTTTTATCTGAAAATTTAAAAGCGATTAAATTCCCAAGGTTAACTGATAAGTGAACTACACAATTTCAATTTTTTATGAAAATAAAAATTTTTAAACACAAGATTACTTTGTAATTCGCTTCTAAAGTTCCTTTTAGCTCATCGGAAGAATGTGAAATTTCAGACCGAATCATTGGAAAATCATGCGCCTCTTTTGCCTTTTCCAAAGCTTTTTTAAGAGATTTTATTTCTTGGTTCTTCGCCTACATCAAAAAATTGAATTCATAAAAAATTCATTTATTCGCAAAAAAATGTAAACGTAAATGTAAAAAATGTAAATATATATGTAATTAATACTTTAATTTAAATACTCAAAACAAATTCGTAACAAAGAATAAATATAAATAAAAAGAACCAAAATGATTTAAAAGGTATAAAAGGAAAATATCAAATTTATGAAAAATAAATTATTTATGAATAAATAAATTAAACGTAACTGAACATATTCAGCATATTCAGTATAAAACTAATGCAAGCAAATAAAGAATAAAATCGTATACCGCTATTTCTTCATTATGAAAAAGTGATGCACGATCGAGTTCGAGCTGTTGTTCAACAATTATGGTTTTTCGCAACGAGTTTTCTCGTTCAGCGATTCTAAGAAATAGAATTAATAATCTCAGTAATAGAAAAAATATTCAGACAATAGATAATAGTTTATTTGGAACTGAGTTACTTTAAACTATAATTATAATTTTTTAGAATCCTACCTAGTGATATTTTCTTGTAGTTCACGATTTCGTTCTTCTAAATTAGCAATTCGATTATTCAAAGATTTAATAGTACCATTTGCATCAAGATTCGCTTTTTCAGCAGTTTCAAGATTTGTCTAAATGATTGAAATATCTAATGCCAAAAATAATTATCTGATCGAGTGAAATGCAAATGCAAATTTAATTAGCAGAATAAATAATATTCCTTTTATAATGGAAGTTCGCAGAAGAAAAATTTTCTAGAAATTAAATTTCTTGTAAATAAGATTTCTTGTAAGGAAAGTTTGAAAATTTTTGGAAAGAGGATGAATAATTAATGGAACTGGAAAACATTAAATGTTACTTTAATTCTCACCTTTAATTCTTCAACTATTTCACTTAAATTTCCGAAAGAGCTTTGAGCATCTTCAAAATCACTTTCACTTCTCTTTTCTTCTGTATCATATATTGTTTTGATCATTTCATCAAAATGTTGTGCAAGTTCTTCTAAATCCTTCTCGGTGCCCAATTTGAGCTTCCGAAGGAACTCTTTTATACTCCTTATATCCTAAAAGAACCAACAGAATGAAATGCATAAGTTTTGACTTTTCTGAAATGTATTATTATATAAGTGAAAAACAACCTACAACCAAAATTTTTTGAATGGTATGGGTGCTTCGATTTTCTTCATGCTCTACGGATTCGATTCCCTCTGATAGGAGTAAAATTGCCAATAACAAACAAGAGTGGTGTTACAAACAATTATACTTATACAGTTTATTGACTTTCTGACGATTTCTGGCCGTACTAATAGCTTAACACAAATATTAAGTAGTACTAATAATTTATTAAATTCGGACTAAATCTATAGCTATCAAAACAACTTATCAAATTTTGTTTCCGTTAATTTTAATGCAAAATATGCATGAATAATTAACTAAGAAACGAAATTACCCTTGACAATTCATTACATTCCCTTGAGAGATTTTTCCATACAGCTGCGTTAGAAAGAGTTTCTTGCAAGTTCTAAAATAAAAAAAAACAAAAATTTCACAATTTTTATTTCCTTCAAAAAGCCTTAGGTGAAAATAAAATGCTAAAAAAATGATCATATCAAATTCTTTGTATTTATAGCAGTTGAAAATTTCTCGCAAAAACTTAATATACCAAAAAAGATATGATATGCAGTTAACGGTGACCGAACCATTAATCTGATGCGAACACAAATCTAATTCGATGAATTATATAATGAAAATTTTCACAAGATGCATCAGCCATCAAATTTCGCGACAAATATAATCCCACCAGAATTTAATATAATAAAAAAATTACCACATCATCCGTCTGAATGCCTACTTCATTCGTTGCGATGGATGGAATTATAAAATCAGTGTTTTCAATCAACGTTTCATCATTTTCGTCCTGAAAGGAACATAATATTTTTGCTAGAAAATACAATAAAAAGAAATATACACTATAGAAATAAATAAAATACTGCTATTAGAATCAAAACAATCTTGGCAATTGCAACCTTAACCTTAAGTTATACAAAACTATAAGGAACAAGATTTAAATCATAGAAAAAATAATAGAAGAGGAATTAATAATTTTCCAAGAAAAATTCATTTTTTTTTTGTGATAAAGGCTTATTTTGCTTTCTGTTGATGACAGCACCTTCTTCTTCTTCTAGCAGCTCTCACCATTACTGGTTAGGCTGGCTACAAGGGTGAGATGTCTCCAAGTTTCCTGTCCGACGTCATCGCTAGAAGTAATAGAAGCCATTCTTTTTTCCATCGTCTAATTCCATATATCACTGATCGATCCCCCTATATGTTCAAAATGTTTCCTAACTGTATCAGTCTAAATCTTGATTGCCTCACCCCCTCCCCGCTTTTGACGCCAAACACCACAGCAAGTTCTGAAAGTATAAAAGATGGAGAACGTGCCTTAACCAGCGAACGCGACACTCTATGATAACATTATTAATGCAGGTGATATTTAAGCGAAGATGGATACAATCATATCCACTCGACGGATCCATAAAATGTATCTTAGACATGAGAGGTCAAAGGCTAATAGCTTCTTAATATCATGATGACAACACCTATATGTAACAAATAGATATTTACTCAAAAGAATTAATAAAGAATAAAAAAAATAAAATGAAAAAACATTACTTGCTTCAAATCAGGCATTTCCTGATTAATATTTTTTGATGCTTCAAGAATATTGGCTTGTAAAACAGAATCAATTTGGTTCTTTTTGATGAATGTATGAGAAAATTCTCCCAAAACAGAACCATCTTTCGGGAATGGATTAAGTGAAACATTGCCTTCTTCAATTGCCTGGACTTTAGCAGAAGTAACCGTCACACATGAATCCTCACTAACAGCGGTATTACTGGTTGAAGTAGAAAATGAAGGCTTTACCAAAAATGGATTAATATCTGATGGTGAAGGTTCGGTATTTTCATCACCGCTGCAAACCATCACTAACTATTGATCATTTTTAAAAAAAACGACAAAGAAAATCCAGGAGATTATATGGAATCTAAAAGGAATAAAACTGACGTTTATCCTTTTTTATTAATATTTTTATAAACTAAATTTTATTAGAATTATACATTAATTTAATTTACAAAATCGATTATACATCGATTTTCAATCTTTCCTTCAAAAATCTTTTTTTCCTAAATCCATACCAACTGTCCACCTATAAGCCAATAAAATGCCAATTTTTTCTTCTAAAAGCATTTGGACATATATAAAGCATAATGTGTTAATGCAAGGCAAAACTAATGATAAAATGAATAGCTATTCTATTCTTCCAAGAAAAATGCAAAAATCTCACATAACTTATATTAACTTATATTAACTTATCTCTTTTATAAAGGAAAATTTTTATATAAAAGAGAGACCTTAACCAAGTAGTAGAAGCAAATTTTTTATTCAATCCCATAATGTTCGCAGTAGCATCTGATGTGAAAAAAGATTCAACTCTTTTTAAAGAAGATAACTGGGTTTGCACACTAGCTATTGCAGAAGGATCTTGAATAGAAAGGCGTTGATAAATCATAGGTTCAGAAATCTTCAAAAAAGCAGTTAACTGCGGAACAGTCTAAAAATACAACACTTTTCACATATATAATATGATAAAATATATATATCATATGAAAAAATGACCGTAAAATTTTATAACTGAAATTTTTTTTGATAGGATATTAACAATATTAAACCATAATCATCGAAAAAATCAATCCCTACCTCTCTTAGTGATCGAAGATGAGAATAATCAGCCGGTGGCAAATTTTGATCAAACGATTTGTAATTCGCCGGAGAAAAATCCGGAAATGGATCGAACATATTGGTGAAAATATGTTTCAGAAAATGTTTCTCCAATTTAGCCTTGAAAGACTCTCGTATAGCAACCTCATGTCGGACAAAGGCTTTACTTTTTTCTTTGAAAGAAATAAACCATGAATGAAATTCCTGAAAAAATGTTACGAGAATCTTACATTAGAACACCAGTTTAGCAGAAATACAACAATTGATGAGCAATTAAAAAAAGGATTAAAATAGTATCACCTGACAATGTCGAAAAATCTTAAAGTGAATCACGCATATTTATTTATATAAAACTATTATAAGAAAAATTACATATATAAAGAAATTCTTTTTCTTTTCCTTTTAACTAGAAAAAATTTTCCAGTAAAGCAGTGGACTGAAAAAAATGACTTACTGGTTGCATCGTATTTCTGCGAAGACATTCTGTAATAGCACTGACATACATTATTGGTGCATTAATTATTTGGCGCATAACTCCAAGTCGTTGGCGCACAGCTATATTTTTTCTCTCAAACACCATCAAAATTGTATTCACTTTATGCAATTTCCCAAAAAACTGAAATTAAAAAAAAACTAAAGGCTTAGTTATAAATTTATTATGGTATTTTAGTTGCAGAGAAAAATTCATGACTAAAAAATGGGAATGGAAAAATGGAAGAAAGCATAAAATTTAATTTTGAAAAAATTTATTATTGCTATCTTTTTCCTTTAGTGTCGTTTTGTTTTATTTCATTTATTTTTGCCACAAATTACATGATACCTTTATCCCAACTTAGTGAACAATGTCATTATAATTATCTTCTGGATAAAGCTTTGTATTTGAATAATTAGCTTTAATAAAGTCAGCCAAACAGAGATGATGAATGCTTTTTAAAAAAAGAATAAAAAATTTAAAAACATACTGCAACATAGTTTTCAAAAAATGTGATGACATTATGGATGGCTTGAACTTTTGCAGAAATAAACCAATCCATTTCTCGCACAACAACACAGATTATTTGCTTTATTTCAGCAGTATGAGCCCGCTGATTCTTTATCATATCCTAAATTAAAATGATAAAGATTTTAACGATTAAAAAATTAATAGAAACCACCAAAGTGAGAAAAAAATTACATTTAAAAGCGGATGATCTCCTGATGGTAAGGAAAGAAAACTTGAGCATCGCCTTTGTATTGATTCACCATCATCTGAATAAAGTATCTGAATAATTATACATTCAAAATTTGTACTGCAAAATCTCTTCCTAAATATATAAATATATAAGTTTATTATAAATATATAAAGTCAAGAGTGCATTAATAGACTAAAAATTGTTCAAAATTAGGTTGTCTACTTTAATATTTAAATTATTCCATCTAACAATTGCCAAAATTATTACAAAAATAATTTAAAAAACGAAAAGATGATAAGAATACAAAGAAAAAATAAAACGTACTTGTAATTATTGAGATTCTTTCACCCATTTCGTTTAAATGGTTGCTAGTAAATCCTTTAACTTCCCGTGGATCAGGTTTAACATCATCCGATAATGCACCCATCATTTCTAAAGCTTCTTCCAATTCACTATCGTCAATCTTCAATTATGTACTAATGAATTTAAATAAAAAACTTAAATGTACAATTAAATTGATTAACTTATATTAAATTTTTGAATTAATTTTATATAATAAAAGTTATATCGACAAAAAAATTTTACTGGTTTAATTGAAAATGCATTAAAAAACAGACTTTGCTCAAAAGTTCACGAAGATCATCGACTGCTGATTCCAATGAGTTTTCAGGATCTATTAATGAGATATAATCATAAAGCGAAATCTCCGCCATTTTTCTACTACTTTCACTAATAGATACATTAATTAATAAAGCAGGAGGGATTTTTATCTGAAAAAAAATTTAACCTTTCCTAATACATGATTAAACAAATTATTTAAAGCAAAAGTATAGGCATTTTATAATTTCGATTCATATGTTAATAAAAAAAGAATACAATTTTAATCAACATCAAACCTGATGTAATATAGGTATCACAGAACAAAATTCATCAATAATATTCACCGCCTTATATTTCAAATTTTTCACTCGATTTTGATCGAAAAATTTTTCCATTTTCTTTTCTACACTTTTATATGAATCTTCGAAATTTGCGACCAACATTCGTAATCCCTATATTTTTTAGATATAAAAATGAAAAAACGAATCACTTATATTGATATTTCCACTTTTATATTTTCTCCTAAAACATGAATAAATTTCACCTTCACTCTGATTGAAAAATAAGATGAAATTTGGCATACTTGATTAAGCATTTGATGATCACGATAGATTCCATTACATAATTGAAGAATTGCATGAAAAATGTCCCATATTTTTTGGTTTATAACTCGATATGTTTGTGCTAAACTATTACTAACTGGTTGCTGTTCCAGTGATTCCAACCGTGTTAAATATGCTAAAAAATACAAAGAATGAGATACTCAATTTAATTTCATTTTTTTACGCCATTTCATTATATGAGAAAAATTTTTCCAATTCTACAAAAAAGACAAACTTACTATTTGCTTCTTTAAGAAGATTTTCTTTTTCAGTTGAAAAATATTTGCGCATATTTGATACCCTAATTATTTTATTAAATAAAAAAACCGGATTAGATTCAGTGCCAATACAGCCATAATGTGCAACGCTTTGTTCACTTTTCAGTTCGGCACCACCAGAAATAAGGAGAACCTGAAAAGTAATTTTTAAAAATTACTTTTTTCGCAATTCTACTGCTAAAATTCACAATAAAACTTTGAAATTTTTTAAAAATCAAATCAAATATGAAAATTACGAAAAATTCATTATCGATATGAAGGCATATTTAATACTACATATTTAATTGATATGTTGTAATTAATCTTTTTTTCTTTTGAAGACAAAGCTTTTGGTTTATGTGGCTCCAATGGCTATTGGAATGAGCTCCTTCACCAGAGAAACGAATGGTAATAGAAGGACGGGTATGTAACATCTGGATTCCATTTTTAATGACAAGTTTACTCGGCAAAAAGTAGGAAACTACGATTTAACCTTCGCTCGACATTTAAGCATCACTGTTAGATATTCGAACATAAATATGGAAAAATTAAAAGAGGACGAGCCTGATGAACAATAGGAACATTGATCGACTTTTCAATAGCACACTGAAGATTATATATTGTTCCCATTGCTGCGCTTTCATCAAGAGGATAACATATTCCTTCATTAAAATAAAAAACATAAAACATGTTAAATGAAGTTGATTTAGTTATCCAGAATTTTCTGAAAAATCTATTAAATGGTAATAAGATTCAGCGAAACACACAAATAGAGAATGGAACTTTGGGCGATTAACTGCTTTCCAAAAAATCAAAAATATAAAAAATAAAAATATAGAACGCCAAATCTTAAATCTTCTTCTAAGAAAAGACTTTTGCCAAATGGCTGTAGCCTGTGAAATATAAAAGGTCATTTTTACCAAACAATCTTCTCCAACTATTTTTGATAATTAACTTGGTGCTGAACAAAGCAAAAGAGGTTGTAAAAAGATGAAGAAAATAAGAATAATGATAGAACATTAACCATCACCTCAGAGGCGCACGATGGATTACTGGCAAAATTGCAAATCAACAGAGGGATTCAAATACAAATATGGAAACAATATGAATTTTTGAAAGCTCAAGAAGAGAAAAGTGCCCGCGGGTACAAAGCAACTATCGGGAAGATCAGCCAATCTCAAAAATAGCTTTTACATTGGCCGTTCGGTAACATTCAACTTTATAGGCGAAATCTTTTTTTCTTCTATGTACTCATTATCCCTGGTTTGCATGGTTCCATTGACTTTTTTAAGAATGTGCTTCGGTGGTTCCCCTGACCACCAGAAGCCGTAACTGGCTGCGAAAATGTCCCCAACTCCATCTTTTACGATAGGTTTACACCTGCCAAAAAGCGGGGATGGAAAGAATACACTATAGCCATAAAAAAGATGCTTAACTGAATTTCCATTAACAATGACATTTCTTCATTTGAATATTTCGGTAGAGGTCAGTGATATACTTAAAGATGACCTTTTATGAAACACATTACACAGTTTCGTACAAATAAAATTCAAAATCATTGCTTGAAAATGCAAACATGGATATTTTATAAGAATTTACAATTTTTATTAAATTTAAGCCAAGCAAAAAATCGAAAAAATCGCAAAATTTCCTATGTGAGATGAAGAATTAAAAAAAGCAAAAAGAGAAGGAGGAAGCGACACTAACCGCTTTCTCTATCGGATGGCCACTCGGAATTCTAGGATTCTCTCCCTTCTTTTTCCTCCAAATCCACTACTATATCGCCAACCACTAAGAGGCTTGGAAGGGATTCTTGGGATTCAAAAAAGGATTTATTCCTACCTTTGAATACGCAACAATTTTGCTTTTTTGCTAATTTATAACGACAGATTTACGTAGAAATCTCCAAGGAAATACTTCTAAATTTATTCCGACTTTCAAACATTTTCGGACGAACCGACAGCTTTCAGGTGGAACCTCAGAGGAATGCGTTTGCCTTTCACCACACTTTCTTCTACAATTTCTAAAAATCTATCGCTTTCACTGAATCCAATAAACGAATCAAAAATTATTAAAATAAAGAAAGTTCGAAAGAAACGAAATGAATCAATAATCGAACTTTTCGTGTTTAACAATGGAAAAGAATAAAAATTAATAAAATCTCGATCATCCAAACAATTTTTATTTGATTTATAATGCAATTCAAAAAATAAATTTTTGACCAATCTTCTTACAAATGACATTTTAAGATTGTTCAAAAACATGTGATTATATTCCACCACATTCGTGCAATCGTTTTGAGATTCAATAATTGTTTAAATGTGACTCAGGTGATAATATAAAACTGTTTAGTGAGATTTGGAATGGTGAATGAGAAAACCAGCGATTCTTCGTGGAAACAACAAAAAACTTGAGCTTTTGTCAAAGTCGTTTCAAAATTTTGCTTTCTGCGACTATAAGCAATTCTAGGCTGTCTTTTCATCAAAGTCGTAAAGTTCACAGCCTAAGCCTTATTTTTTCTATATCTTTGCTATTTCTCTGAGAGAGATTCTCGTTAGTTTTCAAAAAAAACGATCTCTTTAGCAATGACAATTGCAAAAATCCAGCCGATCATTCTTCCGGCACTCTTCTTCCCAATATGCACTAATAGCACTTAATTGCTCATTTTTTTTGAATAGTTCTTGTTGAAATTTTTTGAAGTTATTGAGCAGAATAGCATAATCAACAGAATAAGTTAGGACATTAAGCATTAAAAATTCTTTTTCAGCAATTCAGCTAAAAGCACACTGAATTCTTATGCCATGAATATTCATAAAATGTTATGCCTTCCAATCACAAATGCCAATCTGCCAGAGGGCTTCTGCTGGGTTAATAAGGTTGTGAGCGAACAGCAATCATGAATGACTGCAGTTCTATTCGAATCGCTCCTATACAACAAATATATCTCTAGTTTGCTTCGAAGAAAACAAGGGTGTTATGGATTTTATTTCACCGCGGCCCCTCCAACTGTGATATTTACGATTTTATCTATGAATAAAATTTTCTTGAAATTTAATTTTTCTGCAAATCTTTGTAACTTTTTGTATATCTGCCAATATTATCGAATATTACTTAAAATAGTCGTTCTATACTTAAAATTTCAGGCTTTTTTCGCATATCTTTGGTATTACTTTTCTTTAAATGGGTAAAACTGGATGAAAGATTTTTTTCAGTGTAAATCTTGTGCAACCCTTAATTCTTGGTTGCCTTTCGTATCATTAGATGAAGTAAACAGTACTCGTGAAATGCGGGAGAGATCATGAAATATTCGTGAAATATCTAGGCAAGAAAAATTTCCCGTATCTTCAAATAATTCATTCATCTCATATTCTTATTTATTTATCTTAATTCATTCATATATCTCATATTCTTTACATTCTTCTTCTTCTAACAGTTTTCACCATTACTAGTTAAACTGCCGCACTGGCTACTGCCGTGAAAAATTTTGTTAATCCAGAAAGAAGAAAAAAAAACTGAAATTTTTGAAAGAAATGATTTGCTTACTCGTCGACGGTTTCAC